GCATTATTTTAATGGTCACTGAAAACAGTACGGGGCTGGACGGCCAGAGAGCTCGGTGGTACAGTAATGCCTGCTTCTGTTACTGCTTCTACTTTTGGTGTTGTTACACATTTTCTAATTATAAAGTTTATATTTGACAGAGCAAGAGTTCTCGGTAAAAGGAAGCCGCCGCTAATTAAGCGAACTTCCTTCCGGCCGAAGAACAAGACAACAAAAAAAGGCTTCCTATATTAAACCCACCACCCACCTTCCACTGAACACTCGTACGCTTCCTTTTCACCTTCTAATTGGCATCATAATCAAATATACACCCACGCGTACACCTACTAATATTCACTTGCACACACACACACAAACACACAGACACACAGGAACAGTCATGCATAATTGAGAGACGAGAGAGAAAGTTTTGAATGGCCTCGTACATGCGGAAAAGGGGTACGTATGGGTGGGTATGCGGCAAATGTGAAGCAAATGAAGCAAGAGCTAAAAAGATTATTTCCATTATGAGTGGGCCAATAAAAGGAGCCAGCAGGTGTAAGCCGTAAGGCCAGCGAGGGTTGCTCGAGCACCATACGACCATACGTGCAGGCAGATTAAATCTCTATAAGTCTCCTGTATATGTATAAAACTATAAAGATTTCATTAGAAAACAGTCAAGTATTGGCTAAGGATTGAATGAAGCCATATTTAAAGCAGAAAAAAAGAACTGGAACATTTGCATTGCCAAAAAATATATACGCCAAAGGCATATTTTCGACAGGTAGGTAAGTAATTTGCTGAAACTATGCCACAAGCCATAAAGCAGCAGATACTCAGAGTTCCTTAGCCCTTAAAATATAGCAAAGGTTGTGATACATTTCTTGGCAGGAGGAAAGCCTCTTAAGGAAAAGTTTTCCCCTTCGATATTAGCCGCAAAACTGCTTGAGCGGCCCCCATGACACTTTCAAACTTGTCTCGTCTCATCTTCTACTTGAGAGCGAGATCCCATTCGGTTTGCTTGTTTATCACCTTAATTAAGGCCTGGCAAAAAGGCAACAGCAACGGCAACGGCAACGACAAATGGCTAATAAGAAAAATGAATTTTATTGTGAGGCAAAGTAACATGCAACAAATGAAGGACCTCCAGCAGCTAAAGCTCCATTCCACTCAACTCCAGCGCCACTCCATTCCCCACTTCACTCCACTCCACTCCACTCCATTCCACTCAACTCAAGTCGGCTCCTCCTCTTCCGGTTAACTCTTTGAGCCGGCGATGGTCGCCACGGGATTTGGATTTTACCCATGTGAAACGTGTTAATATGCGAGGCAGCACACGTACCATGGGGTTGGGTTCTATGCCGTGGTGTAGTGTTGGGTGGGATAGGTTAAAGAATGCCTGGCGAAGGACTAAATCAGCGTCTCAAGTGGTTTCCTCTAGACCTTCCTGGCGCTTAGCTTAGCTACTCGTACAATGTCGAGGAGTGCCGTGCCGCCTCATATGACTCTGTATACATTTGCGTCTTGGTGTTTGTTTGAAATGTTATCAAGCATCGCAAGTAATGGGTAGAATTTTTAATTATTCACCCCCTACCCACACACGGCTGCATACTTTAGGGCGCTGGGGCGCTCCCAGTACCCAGTACCCAGCACCCAGGACTCGGGACTCGTTGCTCGGGACTGGGCTAATTTGTTATGCGAAACATCTTCAGCAGGGAAATAATTAAAAAGTTTTTTTCCAATGGGTGGAAGTCCCTTTAGTACTCTTCCTCTACTCTCTCCTCTCTCCTCTCCATTACCATCTGTGAGATGCCGTGCCACGCCCTCTAGTCTGGTATCGATCTCTTATTTATCTGCTGCTTAATCTCGTTTGTGCCTGTCCGGATCCGGCTACGGTTACCTTTTTGCGGTTACCGCATCCTCTCCATTTGCTCTCCACTCATTTGTTACGCTTCGCGTCCTGTAACACTCTACGCGAGCTTTAGTGTAGTCTACTCTTTTGCTTTAGTGTATTTTTATGGCCATGCCAGGATAGGTGAGAGCAAACCCACCTAGCGACTCCGCGAATAGTCTTCTGCCTGCTCCATCTCCAGTTCCAGCTGCAGCTCCAACTCCAACTACGGTTCTACGTTCTGGTTGGATTGCGATATTTTCCTGCCTGTACGCCCGCCATCCGCCTTGCCGGGGGCACCACTCGGTTTGCAGCTTAATTGGATGCCGCAATGTGAAATAAATTGAGCAGAAAATTACGTTTCCCGCAAAATCTAAACCACACTCTAGATATACTCGTACACACAGCACACGGATATGGATTGGGCCCTAAGTTTTTGCTTTCGCCATTGTCCTCTCAGGTGTCGTTAAAGTGTTGAACAGCGTCGGAAAATCTTGATTGGCCGTTCAGACTGCAGAGCAAACGGAAAGGGATAGGAGACCAGGACAGAGAGATTTTAAAGCCATTGAAAACTCTCACACACAGTCTTTGCACACGTTGATAAAGAGCTAAATATTTATTTTGAAAAGCAACGATATCGAGGGATACGGATCTGATTTATTGATATTGTATGTATTTTACTGTAGATTTGATGTGATCGAGGAACAGGGAATCTGTATTTCTTGAGCGATGTTGGATATTTGACTCTTCTCTGTTCTTGGCATCTTGTTCTGGATTTCCGCTCCTAGTTATGCGCTCTAACAGGTTCAGGCAGGTAGAAAGAAGACAAGACTACTCGCCCGACCCACTTTAAGCCCGAGTTCAACGATTTCAAGACAGTGCGTATCTTCTTACTGACGCAATTCGCCTTCTCGCCGCAACCATTATTCGGCGTGCACTGCTTCGACGACGAGTCAATGTCACATTCCGAGTCCGAAGTGGGGCAATCAGCAAACGCCGTCGGCAGAGATATTTCCGAGGATAGCTGGCACGAGTTCCAGAGAGAACTTGAGGACGCCGTGCTTTTGAAAGATGTCTGAGAGGTCTCCCGGGCCGAGCTCCAGCCACGATCGCAATCAGTTATATATGTTGCTGAAATCGATCTTCCAAGCGATACGGCAACCTTTTCGAGCGGCGACGATCTCTTCGAGGCCTCTGGGCTCCAGTTTACAGAAACACTCTCCATGGCACTTGAATAAAGAACAGACTAACTAAAACTAAAAATTTAATGCTGCTACACAAAACCAAACACAACTATTTTGTACACACTAGTGTTTATAATGACAGCAATTTCATATCCTAGACACAACATTTCAGTAGAGTGGGAATACTCAAATAGAGGGTTGCTAAGTATACAAATAATCAGCTGACTGCCAAATTACTATTGAAGCTGACTGAAATGACTCTATTGCACCGGTTCAATAATCCGTTTCCCTCCCCAAGCCAAAAACCATATGGTTTATTTTTGTTATTAATTTTTCATAATTTTATTTAATATAATTGTTGAATTTAATGTTCATTGAAATCTTTACGGACTTTCTCTCTGATTCAATTTCGTTCGTTTCTCAAATAAAATTGGTAATTACATTTATTTATTTGTATTACAAAGAAATAATTTCTTTTTTGTTTAATTTTCTTTCAGCACAAAATTCAGTTTTTATTTTTGGATGTATATTATATGTACGTGAGATCTTTGCATCGCTGCTACATGACAAGTACACATACATACATATATTTAGTTATTTTCGTTATTTTGTTTGAATCTTGTGGACTTGGTGTTTCCCCTGGTATACATCAATTAAATATTTACTTCGATTCTGTTAGTTAATACATATGGTGTATATATATATTTAAAGAATGTGCTATTTTGGACATCTCTAACCGATTCGCTTAACACTAATTGCCATTGCATAGTATCGTATAATATTCATGTCCTCCGCACGGAAGGGGTTCCGTTCCTTTTTAATCGGAACCCCCCGGCAGAAAAGATTTTGTTATGGAATTTCCACTTAGGAGCTAGCAAAAAAAAAACGAATTACAATTAAAGTTCTCAAGTGTCGTAGATTGTTGTGGGTTTTTGGTGTGTGGTTTGCTAAGTAGTATACAGATATCGTGATACATATTGATATAGCACATACTCGTATTCGTATTCGTATTCGTATATATGTATAGGATTATATTTATAGTTAAGCTTAGATTGCACATGTTTATACACATTTAAAGTACACGCATATCGAAGCACATGAAATGAACAGTAAACAAATTCACGAACATTGGATTACGGCTTAGGAACTCAGACATACATCGGCTCTACAATCCCCCTCTGACCCACCCAAAGCGAAGCCCATAGACACCCATTCTACCCATTCCAAAAACACAAGCCCCAACCCCAATCCCATTCCCACATTAGCTTTTCCTACCCCAGACATCATTCATATTTTACAGAAACGAGGACCAAATAGTAACTCAACGAAGGGCTGGCTTTACAATGTTGTTTTTACCTCTAGTTTAAAGTTGCTAAATATTTATCTGGTATTATCTGTATTCTTCTTGGTATTCGCACCTATTCTTTTTGGTATATTTTCCTTATCGTTTCTATGACTAATTTAATGGCTCGGGAATACCACGGGCCTGACAAAAAAAAAAACATTTAAAAAAAACACACACATTACAGACCCAAGTGCTGCATATGTTTTTACGATTTCTCTTACTTTGGGTTTTCTTATTTTTTCGTAGTTAAAAATGTTAAAGGAAAATATTCCGGCTAAGGGACTCCTTTTGGAGAATTACATTGGCGTATACGAAACATTTTCCCTAGCTCTTCGTATCCTTCAATTTGCTAAGTGGTTCTTCCTCTCTTTCGTTTTCTTTTTGTGTGTGTTCTTTGGTTTTATTTAACTATAATACGAGTATTCTAGAGATCTATGGAGAACTCCAACAAATTCTACTAAAAGTTGATCATTTTCATTATTTATAATTATATAGTTGCATGTGTGTGTGTGTGTGTGTGTGTGTGTGTGTGTGTGTGCGAGTGTGTGTAAGTGTGTGAGTTAAAAAAAAACATTATGTACAGCAAGATTGCATCGTGTTCCACACATATGTACTCGTATGTACATTCAGAAGCCGCCGAGGCAGCCATTACCCAGACCATACCCATACCCATACCCGTATCCGTACCCATACCCCTGCTCCTCGTGCTGCGTCTCCGCTGCGCGCCCCTCGCACTATAGAACCGCAGAGCCGCACCACAGAACCTGACCTCAATATGGCCTCCACACGCTGCCCCCATTGTCAGTGGGATTGTGGTGGCCGCGATGGGCAGCTAAGGCGGCCACCTGACGATTGCTGTTACCGTCCTCGATATTCCTCACCGACGCCCCACAGTTGCCGATCAGCGTGAGGTCGCCCGGATGAGTTACCCCACCGCCGGCCATGATGTTGTGCTGCTGGCGCACACCCACATTGCTGATGTGATCCATCACACTCTGGAGCTCCCCGTGCACCGAGGAGTTGGGCGAGGCGTGGGCCGGCAGCGTGTGTGAGTGGAAGCCGTGGGCCGACTGATTGGCCGCCGTGTACAGCTGCGAGTAGAGGAGGCTGGCGGGCAGGACCGGGTACAGCGATCCATTGCATCCGGCCGCGGCTGCTGCAGCGCTGCCATGGCCACCACCCACTCCGGCACCGCCGCCGTAGGCCGATGCCGAGGCATGCTGCGCCTGGTTAACGATGCCCGGGAAATTCTGATTGGCGCCGAGCATGGCTCCTGGGTTGCCCACGCCCACTGCTGCGGCGGCACCCGCTGAGGCGGCACTGCCGGCGCCCGCTCCAGCCGCTGCACCGCCATTGGCCGCCCCTCCGTTGGCCGTGCCGCCGCCGGTGCCGCTGCCCAGATTGGGGGTGTTCGTCGAGAGCAGATCCTCCTGAACCGGCGACTCGGCCTGGGAGCTGTCACTCAGGCTGCGCGGCCCGTTCTGGCTGGAGTGGACGTTGTAGTCGTTGCTGGCATTGGTGTGGTAGCGCGGCACCAGAATCGAGTTGCCACCAGCACCCCCGCTGCCGGCTCCTCCAGCGCCAGTGCCCCCGGCGCCAGCACTGCCGGCACTCGCTCCATTCACAGTCGAGGAGATGGACGTTTGGCCGGTGGCGCCCAGGAGGCTGTGGTGCGTCATCTGGCCACTGGTGGAGCCGACGAGGCTGCTCAGATGCTGGTCCAGGTCACTGGCCGTCGAATCGGGCAGCACTAAAAAGGGAAATCAAAGTAAGGCAAATAGGAACATTAATCATTAATCAATATAAAGAAACCCTAATCAAGAAATCAGGCAAAGAGGGCACAGGACAAGAGTCATAAAATGCCACTTACTTGGCACACAGTCGCGATTGGTGGCGCCGCCAAAGTCCTGGTTGTTGCTCTGATCATTCGAGGAGCAGGTGAATCCCAGCGCTGGATTGTTGAACTGTGCCGACGTGGGTGTAGTGCAGGAGGAGAGTCCGCTGCTGGCCAAGTACGGGGAGTAGGCAGATGCTGCTGATCCATAGCCCCAATGCGTGTTGCTGGCACCTAAATCAAATTGGGAAACATCTTTGTGGTTAGTACTTACATCTATTTGTGGTGGGTACATGAATAAAGGAAAGCGAGCAAAGTAAAGCGAATTAAATATGTTTGCAGCTACTTCTGTTGGAAACCAAATTGATGCGGCCAAAAATTAACATTTTTAAACCCTGTCCACCAGCCCCGCCATCTATCCAAAATGTTACGCTCATGTGGGTCGCTAATTGGAGGTCTCTCCCGGCAACCACCATTACCCGACGTGGGCCCCCTGCCCACGTTACTCATTATGCGGGACCTTTTACCACCAATTTTGCTATTTTGTAGAGTTACGACAAAAAATTACAAGCAAATCAATTGAATGGTCCAGAGGCAGACCCTGCTTCCTGTCCCTCTCCGGCTCTTTTGACCCTCGGAGTATGTGCAGCAATTCGGGAGGATTTTCTATATATATTTATGTATATATGTATGTAGGCATAGAGGACATCGCACCGCACAAAACAGTGAGGAACAGAACACTGTGGGGCAGTGGGGGCTTAAACAGAAGCCAAAAGAGACAGCCAACGAGAGAGAGAGAGAGCGAGAGAGAGAGAGAGAATGTGTGTGTGTGTGTGTGAGAGGAGGGGGCTACGGAGAGAGTCAACATTTTGCGGGTCTCCGGGACCCATGCACAGATAATTAGGCTTAATTAATAGCCCATTCGGAAATTATTAATTAGTTTTTATAGGCGACGGGCGCATTTTCGTAGCCGGATATTGATTTTGTGGTGGCTTTATTAATGCTATTGGCTTAAATGTTTCTACCTCCATTAATTACGTGGCTTTTTGTGCACAGTTTTTCGTTGCTGTTGCTTTTACCGCTGTTGTGGGATGTGGACAACGCTTCACGGTAAATGTATCTCCACCTGCCAGTGTGTGCGGGTATCTATGGGAGTGCCTGTGTCTGTGAGGGGCAGTCCGGCCGCTTGTTTGTTGTCACACTGATTGACTTTATTTGAGCAAATTTTTTTTGGCTGTCTGAATTATTAACAAGAAAATGGCAATAGGCTCTCGGTGTCAGTTCGGTTCAGGTTTGTCATTAGAGAGGTACACATATTCGATGCCAAAGGTTCCATAGATCATAGATACAACTAAAGGCGTTCAATTCCAGGAATAAATATGTTGGAACACTTAAGAGTAATCTAAATTTCAACTATTTTCATTGATACTTCATTTAAAAGTCTCCTTCAGTCTTCCATCAAATGAGACCATTTATTTCCTATAGATTTCCCTTTGGTTTCTGTGCCTCTATATTCGCAACCTTTTAACCCTGCCAAGCCCCAGCACGAACATTTCTCGTTTGGGATTCCTGGAATTTTTTTTCGAAATTAATAAAATATATGCCAGTAATTAAGTCAAGCAGCGACTGTCAATAAAGTTTGTTAATAAATAATTCAGAATATTTTGCTTTTTGCATATTTACAATTAATTTATTGGTAATCAGTATCAACAGACGCTTTCAGTAATCATTATTTACTTGTGTTGTTATCCACACATTTGTATGTGCAGTACTGCATATAGGATATAAATATGTACATACATATACATATACATATACATATCACATTATATAATGGCTTCTGTAGGTATTATCTGTGTGTGGGCGCGTGTGTGGCTTGCCTTTTACCTCGGCCAAATGTCAGAATCCTGTAAATCGCGCAATTTGCATTTTGATTTGTACACTGGGCTAGACGGTAAAATATTGACAGACCCTGGGCTTGGGTGGCGGAGCTAACTGAATAGGCGGGGACCACCATGGGGGGAGGCTGAATTGGGGAATGTGATGTGGAAGACAAGCTCAGATTGGCAGGCAATTTGCGCATTGATTGAGTTGCATTTTATATATTTATGTGTAATTTTTATTTATTTTACTTGGCTTTTTTGCATTCACCGGAATGGTTTTGGTCAGCGGCGGTAATGAAAGATAAGTGGTCACAAGTAGTGTTGGTGAATTTGAGAGAAAACCAATTAAAGGCTGATAAAAGTGTAACGAGGGGAGCACCAGAAAAGAGCAGCACGAAATTTGTGAATTTTCAGAGCTTTAGCGAAGCGTTGGAAATGTAAGAACTATTCCAGAACCATTCAGAGGATTCTTTTCAAAATTCTTGTCCTTTCATATGGCTCATATATTGTGGGATATTTGATCATCAATTCACAATTTATTTCGCTGGACTAAAGTGTTTCCCTATGGTAGAGCTCTACATACGTGAGATTTCACAATTAATTTTCGTCCCCTTTTTTGTCTGTTTGATTTTAGCGATTTTTGCTTATGGCCTTTTTATACTTTAATATCATTAATGTGTTAATTTTATTATTTTCCCCATTTTTTTTAATAGCATCAAGCTCTAAAGAGGAAATAATTTTTGTCGTTTCTGATGGATTTTTTGTTGCTCTTGTTTTTGTTGTTGTTATTGTTGTGCCCGGAGCAAATAGTTTGCCCCGCAGGTGGGTGGGCAGATAAACAATGTCTAGTACGGTTTTGTTGCTGCTGTTGTTCTTGTTGTTGTAATGCAATTAATTGTCAATTTAAATTGAAACATCAAATTTAATATAAATGCATTTTAAAATGTACAATTAAAATTATTTCACCTACGCACCATAAACAACAGCAAAAGCAACGACCAAAAAATACCTGTCGCCCACAATATGAATTATTGATTTTATTTTAAATACTCTACCAATAGGGTAGAGGGGGCTTTGTAAGTGGGTGAGGGAATAAGTAAATGCATAAGTAATAGTTCGCTCTGCTAATTTGTTTTCACTCCTTAAATACAAAAATGTACAAAGAGCATAAACACATTTCCAGGGTATCTAAAACTTCGCCCAGTCGCAGCCATTTGCGTTCATTCATAGCTTAGGGTTTGTCCTGTCAGAATGGTTTATTTTTGGCTGGATAAATGCATTTAAATATATTTAACTGCTGCATAAAAAGTGGCTTGTAGTTTTTTTCCATTGAAATCATAATTTGTATGCGATGCTCTGATTTACGCACATAGATATATATGCGACACACACACACACACAGACAGACCCAAATAGACAGACAGTTTTTTTAGGCTTTGACTTTTTTCCATACGTGCTCTCGGCCCCCTCTTGACGGCACTTTCCTCTCAGCCGCTGTCAGTGTGTGTGTGTTTGTCTGTCGCAGTGTGTGATTGTGTTTGACCAACGTTTATTTGTTTGTATAGTAAACTTTTGGTTAAATAAAGTGGCCAACAGTTTAACAACAACTCATACACACCGACACACCCACTTATCCGGAATGAAAAAATCCTTTATGGCAAGGTGACCCACAATTTTACCACATTCAAATGGTTGCCCAGCGGCAACAGCACTACCGACAACAACAACAACAACACAAAAAGCAACAATATGAAAAGCCTCTGCCTTTTTTTTGTATGTACTTTTTAATTTGCCATGCTATTTTTACTCTTTAACACATGAGTCACACTTGTTCCTGCCGGTGTGTGGTTTGGGGGCGATTTTTTAGCAAACATTTATTGCCCACTTTTTGTGGCCATTTACTGAACGTCCACTGATAGCGTGACAAGAGACTGAAGCAACAAAAAAAAACAGCAACAACAGCTTAGTTTATATTTATGAAATCACAGAATTGAATATAACAAAACCCATCCAAGAAATGTTTCCTTTTTCTCTTAAATTATAAACATTTGAGACATTCTTTAGCAGCTGTGATACGAAACCCATTTTAAGCCTAGATATTTTTCATCAAAGAATTGTAATCAAATTTCATGTATTAAATCTTCATAGTGGAAATATATTGTTTTTGTTTATGAACCATTTTTGGTTGCTTATTTTGTTGGCGTGCAATGCAATGAATGGCTTGGCTGCCTAATCGGTTTTTTGTGTGATTTTGTGTGGTTGCATTTGTGGGTGTACCACATGTCCAAAACCGAAGCACCCAAGGCAGCACCTCGCACAAATTTAACTTTTACTTTTGTTGTCATGCGGCTAACGATTCAACAAAAAACAAAAATAATCAAAATCATTTGGCAAAAATGTAAGAAAAATCATAGAAATTGGAGAGAGATTTGTGATGGAAATACTTACTCTGACAGTTGCCAATGGGCGGCATACGGAAGCCGGATAGGGGATCCGTTGAGAAGTGGAATGGTCGCTGGCCGAAGGCAAAGTGGAACTGCTGTTGTTGTCCTAAAAGGGATAGCACTAAGTTTTTTTCAGTTTTAATTATCTGTCCTTAACTAAATGGTTTTGTTGCATTTGTCAGTGTCTCTTTGTATGTGTGTGTGGGCTTGTGTTTAATTCTGTTCAAGTGTAGTTGTGAGAGAGACTTAAGTGTCAAGCACTTGATGAATGGAAAACTGTAGCGTTTGATTCACTTAAGATGTAGAAAAGGTTATGGCAGGGCTCCTCCGAGACTTCAACCTACCTTTAACCCCTTTAAACCCCCCTGCGATTTAGCTAAACTATTGACAAAGGGCTTTCTGTGTATGTGTGAAATCAAAATGACAATGGCCCCCAAAAAACTTTGCCCCGGCAAAGTAGTAGCCCGGAGACATTTTCCACTACGACTCTCCTCCTTTGGTCCTTTGGTCTATTTGAGGTCCCTTCCGCCCATGAAACAGTTGCAGTTAGCTGGCAGATTGTATTCATTATAAAATAATAACCTTTTGTCTGGTGTTGTCTGCTGAAGAGGCAGCTTAAAACCCCCAACAAGCCATGTGTGCGAGTGTGTGTCCATGTCCATGGCTATGTATCTATGGATCTGCATCTGTGTGAATACCGCAGAAAACGGTCTCTCCCCGCACGCTCTCGCTCTGTCTCTCTCTCTTTATCTCTTTTGCAGTATAACCCGTCTGGCTCTGGGGCCATATAAATCATTTCATGGATCTGAATTTGTTGCTCTATTCGCATTCGGACCGAAACCAGATTACACAGACCAGCAAAACTTTTGTCCTCTGTCTGAGCCGAGGAGCGTGTTGATGGGCCCCCAAAACATATGCAAAGTAAAATATTTGCATCCTTATAAATATGTATGGCTACAATGCGATACTCTTATGTATATGTAAGTACATACCCAGAGAAAGAGGGAGAGAGCGGGAATGGGCTGGGATGGGATGAGTGTGATAGAGCTGTCTAATGAATATTCCTTAAAGAAAATGGCAATTTGCTGAGAGATGGAAAAGTGTGCAGTAAGGTATTAGGGACAGAAACTTTATCGGCAGCAGAGAAAGAGAAAGGTGCAGTCGGAAAAGTGAGTAAGTGATAGTAGCTAAGATATACGAGGCTTCAGAGTCAGAGATGAGCGAACGAGTTGTTCAAATTTTTCATTGCAGAGAATACGAATAAAGTTGGTACGTTGGGGCTTCAAAGAAGGTTCGAACATGCAACGGATCTGACTCATTACACAGCAACAATATTGCATAGAATCCCATTCAAATTGTATAGGAAACAGTTAAGAGATCCAAAGTCACTTCATTTTCATACCAACAATATGTCGGGGCACACGTTTCGATGTTTGCACCAAACAGAGTGTCATCTCTGGCCATGCTAAACCCTAATGAAATCTCTATCCATATGCAGGAGCTAAGACCTCAACTTGAGCCCCCAATTACTCCCAGTCTGTACTCTAAGCCTGCGTCTCAGTGTCTGTGTCTGTTTCTCTTTCTCAGTGTCTGTGTCCGTTTCTCTGCCCAAAAGAGTGTGTTGCCTGCTGCTACTGCTACTGCTGCTGCCGAAAGGACAATTTATCTATTTGGCAACTAATAAATTGTTATGCATTGTCCTGCAAATGAAATACAGTTATCTGCCCCAATGCAGGGGACTCGGAGTTGGAGTTGGAGTCGGAGTTGGAGAAGGAGCCTTGCCAGAACACTTGCCGAGCTCTTTGCATACTTACTTGTCTTGGAGCGGGGCTCGCGTGGCCCGTCGACAGTCACTTTGATGGCCTTGTTGTAGGTGGCTATATGCGGTGGATTCGTTGACACGGTGATGGTGAGCGTGAAGCTTTTCCCTGCAACAAATAAACAACAACACAATTGATGAGAAAAGAAAACAACGGCAAACAAATTTATGAGCTCTTTTCATGGTAGCTAATGGGCGTCTGACATGCAAATCAATAAAGCTATTTTCTTTGGTATTGTCACATCGTAAAAATGTTGCCCATAAAACTGTACATAATGTGTGTTGGTTGAATGTGCGTACAAGGAGGGATTCCAAAGGAATGGGTAGAAAGATGGAGAGTGAAAACTATGTATATAATTTATTGCGATTCGAGTTGGTATCTTTTCACATTCGATTGGCCTTTTCCCAATGAGAAGCGATCACACAAAGAAGATGTTTTTCGGGAGAATTGAATATTAATTGGAGCTCTAAAAATATAGTCTACGGCGGGTAACGAGGTTTCCCTTCAGAGTTCAGCTCCTATTCAATATTTTAAAAGCGAAATGCACTGCTGACAGAAGACGGCATAGAGGTACCAGTTGCACATTGCAAGGCGCCGCAAATGGAAGCCAGCTCTTGTGTGTATAAATGATACCTTAAATTCGAGTTTAATTTATGAGACAGCATATTATATAATCAACGAAATTGTATTTAAAATGTATTATTTGCATTGTCGTTGCATCTGATCTGCTTGAGACAGTTTGTTTTATTATTTTACCCCTGTCCCTAGCCCTTCACCTGTGACACGTACTGTGCGTACAGTGTTTAACCCCACAAATAAGTCTTTACCTCTACTGGATGCCCACTCACACTTTTCTTATGGCTTAAATAAAGAATTAATTACAATTTAAACTGATTTCAGTCTGTCGCCAAAAAAACCTATCCGCACTGCTGCCCCCTCCACATATGGTGGTACGTTCGTATGTTCTGCGAACAAAGTTTCCTTCTTTTGCCAAGATTTATTTCATTTGTGCCGCAGTTTTCTTTTAATTAACTTGCTTGCCTCCACATCTCTGGCACCCATTTTTTTGGAGACTGGCTGGGGCACGCCTTTTGTGTCATTGTCAAGTGTTGCCAGGCCCACGCGAAGAAGTCTTTTGCCACTTCTATGTCGGCCCAGCCAGATTCCGGGATTCAATTAAAAGCATTTTGGGCTCCTTGAGTTGCTGCTTCTGCCACTTCTCCCACTTGCTGTCTTGTCTATGACAACGCGAAGTAGATCAATGGGGTATGGCTGGGGAAAATCAGAGATATGTGGAGGAGTGGGGTTTGCTTTTTAAGTCGACAAACAAAGCGTAAATCATTTCGACACATAGAAATAAGCCGCCGACGCCCACACACGACTATATGTACTATATGTATATGTACAAAAATACATACAAATGTCTATATGTACGTGGGGTTTTTGAACAGACACAGGGGCAATGGGCTTACACATGTTCCCTGGCACACTCCACTGCGTCCGCCCCGAGACAATGGTCTGCCACGGTTTTGTTGATGTCTTGGGTGGGCCCGGGCCCACCTTCGACGTTCAAACTTAGTGCATAAAAAATGAACTTGGTGTCTTTTTCGGGGTCTCGAGGGGCGAACAGATGGTTGGTGAAATAAGAAAACACTTTTGTGTTTATTTGCCATCAAGTGGAGTTCATTGTTGCGCAATTGTTTGCCACTTTCGATGGGTTTTTTTCGAGTGGCATGGCAGGGAAACAGACATAACGGGAGTACGAAAATAATGCACTGATATAATCGATCATTTAAGAGCGAGGGGAAATCCCTTTCCCTTTCCAGAAACTAGATTTCCCGCTGTCTTTTGGTAACTGGAAAATTGGAACTCCTATAGGCTGTTTGCCCCTGCTTTATTTTGTATAATTGCAGTTCTGACAGCACGCTTTCTGCAGTTTAAGTCCACAAAATTATTTATATGTGCATGCATATGTATGTACATTTCACATAACGAAGCCTTTGACCCCTGACCCAATTTCAATGTTGCCTAATCATGCAACATGTACCACCGCCAAAAACACATTCATCTTAATCCCGACCACCGACAACCGACGACTCCTCCTGCCAGCTCTGCACAGAGACACGACTCCGACAAATAGAAACATCAACACTTGAGTAGCAAAACACTTCCGTTTGTTGCGACATTTAAAATCAAATCCCGTTGACAAATAACTCGAAATCCCTGCTTGGCAAATCCTTGGCAATTTGTCGAGGCACAGGCGTCATAAATCAATTTGGGGGTAATGAAAGCACACACACACACACGTGTCGCTGGTTGGGGTTGTCTTTCGTAGAGGGATGCTGGCAGGATATATGTATATAGCCATTCATATGCATATATGCATACGGGGTAGGCTCTGGCGTAAGACAAGAACACACACGCACCCACACCCACACCCACGCACACATCTGTCAATACTTGTGGCCGTGTCACAAATCACCAAGAAACAACAACAACGAACCCCAAAAGACATACCCCAACCGGATTCCATTGATGCCGAAATCTGATTCTGTTGCTTTTACCCCACATAATCGGTGTCGGGCCTACGATATTCAATTTACAGATTATTTGCAATTAAAATTGCTGCTCCATATTTCCCCCGAAAACCAAAGTTTTGCACAAATATTTGTTCAGGTTGGCAAATAAATGTATCTATGATGATTTTGAGACAGAAAACTACCATCGTTTGAGTGTTCAAACATACCTACAACATGGTACATAATACCTCTGATAATACCCAGCAAAAATTCCATTAAGTTGCTTTAGCTTCACCAGAATCCAAACCAGGGAATTGCTTAGCCAAGCAGCGGGTATCCTACAGTCGAGACTGCACTGGACTGCAATCTCTTGTTGTTTCGCTTCACTTAAGCCCAAACACTAAGCCCTTAAAAGCTTTCTAAGTCAGCCAACAAGTCGGTCCAACACAAAAAGAAAATCATGTTGCGGCTTCTTTGGTTTTCATCTTTTATGTTTTTCTTTTGGTTTTTCCTTTTTTTTATTTGTTTGCCTGTTGATTTTCTTTTTGTGTTTACCTCTACATGTAGTAAAGGTATTCAGATGATTGACTGATTGATTGAAGATGTGGGCAGCGGTCTAAGAGAAAGCAGTGTTCGGGGATAATGTGGTGCGTATTGAATCAGTTATTGTTCGAATACTTTACATTGCTCAAGAAGTGGATCCTCAAAGCTATCGATATGTTACCCTCGGATCTATATGATGTCTTCTTGGGTTTGGGTTGAATTCTAAAGCTCTATTTTATGATGTGGAAACAGTTTTCTTATTTATTTGACTATCTTTTTCGTGTGATTAATTTGCCATTATCTCACAACGCCATCCAGTCCCATACAATCCTTTTGTAGGACCAAACCCCAAGCCAGAGCCCATCAACCCATAATAACTCTAAATTGCACCATTGTCTGCCTGTTGCTTTTTCCGCCAGTCCCAAGAAAATGCCTCCCCTCCGAATCTGCCTCGCACAATTACCAACTTTTAGCACGAGAACAAAATGCTGAGCAAAAAAAAAACAACAAAAAAGGAAAAAGAAATCGAGTCGAGGAAGACAGAACAGAAAAAGGAAAGCCAACGGAAAATTGTGCACAATTTGCCATGACTCCCCGCCCATGACCCTGCTCTGGGCCCCTTGGCTGAGTTAAGACAGGCGTGTCCTTTTCACAGGATAAGGTGTCAGTGGCTGGCAAAAGTTTCCTTTTTTTTCGCAGCTGCTTTGTCGTGCTGTCGGCCCTCTTCCTTTGCCTTTTTAACGCCTCGACTTTTGCTAGGCATTTATCTTTGGGTGGATTCTTCTTGTTGTTGGAATTGGGTCTCCCACATTGTCTTTTGTCCCCATGTTCGGGTAGCAAATCTGTTTGTCTTAGGGGGCGGGACGGGGGGTGGGCTTCTCGAGTCCTCGGAGTTCTTGGCTCAGTTCATTTTGCGGCTGTTTTGGGGCCGTCTTAAATGGCTTAAGAACTGTGTAAATAAAAACCTCAAACGAAGGCACAGCATTGTGGAGGGGAAATGGGGGGCTGGGTGGGTTAACTTCTGCCCTCGATTAGGCGGAAATGTTTTTTCATTGGATTTCCTCTGCTTCGCTTATGTTTTGCTGAGTAATTTATTGACGCACAGGAAAACAAAAAAAGGAGGTGTGGGTCGTAACAGGCGGCAACTGGCACCGAAAGGCCAGGCCAACACGTAGAGCCATCAACGCCCCTACACACCCCGACCATTTCCACCCCACCAATCAAATTTACCATCATCATCGTCGTTGTGGCGGTGCGGGTGTGGGTGTGGGTGTGGGTGTGTGCGTGCATGTGCATGGCACTTTGCTAATTAAAAGTGTAGCCTAACGCAGGGCGCCGAGCCCCCAAATAAATCGATGGCCGGGTAATTAAATTGCATGACAGACCCAGCCCCGAACCCCCGCACCACGCAGCCGACAGTCCGTAGCCGGCAGCCTGCAGCAGGCATCCGACCGGCGGTCTAGCTAATGTACTGTTGCACTATGCATTTGTTATTGTAATTAGACAGAAGCAGCAAACAGCAGCAGCAACAACAGCAGCAAACAGAAGACCAAACAAAATGGCGTCCCTAGTCGCGTCAAATCGCGTAAATCACTCAAGCGCATAATGGCGGCAGACTAGAGCTGAAGATTCGATTGAAATTATGCCCAGGATCTGAGGACATGATGAGTGGACAAACAGCGGGGCGGGGAGTACGAAGAGGTTGATGCAAGATGATGAATATATGGTCGGACTCGTGGCCCTGGACATCAAAGCCGTGCTCTATGTCCTGCCTAAATGAATGGGAAATTTACAATTAAAACGCCTCAATGCGAAAGAAGGACATTGGGAGGACATTGTACGCTGCGATCCAAGAGAAAAACGGACAGTGCGAAGATGAAATGAAAAATGGTGAAGAGTTGGGGGAACTGTGGCCGAACGAAAGACACAAAACAGGAGAGAGGGCAAACTGATGGACAGAAAGCTCACCAAGAGAGAGAAGGAGAGTGACTGACAGACGTGGACACATTTGGCATTTGGCATTGGCCCGAATGATGACAATGAATGAATCGCAGACGTACCCTGCGCTCCACTAAAACCGATTGTCCGCCCTCTAATCCCCTGCACCGAACGCCTCCCTGACATACTCTCGGGTTGAGGCTTTGGTTTTTGCGGTTCTACCGCAGCGGATGCGTAAGGCATCATCACCCATCGCCCCACCATTTCTTGACCTCCTGGAATGGCCAACGAAATTGGTCCTAGCCCCCAGACTCCAATAAAAGCTCTGCATTGGCTTGCTGATTGTTTAAGTGATTAATGAAAACCACAAAAAAGTGCAAATTGCTGGGAAAAATAAAAGAAAGAATTTCCGAAGAGTTTAACGAGAAGAATACCCTCAGAGCATATTTTATCACTTAATAAATGACACTTAAATGTCTATTTCATGCCTCTATCCGTTCTCTACACTTCCGACTTTCAGTTCATTTCAGTTCCGTGCCATTCTGACAGTTTATTAAACACTTTAAGACAAAGCACCCGAAAAAAAAACAAACAAAAATAGATAAAAGGGAGGGCAACAAAAATAAAATGGAGCAAAGGAATCCGCTTGTATTCTATGAATGGCAGCGATGGAGACCACTGATGAACTGCTGACAATTTGTGCAGCGCTTAACAAGCGGTTAAAAGGATACAAAAGGCTGTCGAGCACAAAAACCAAAAACTGACAACAGACAGAACGAACAAAATACAGAAAAAAAAAAAACAGCAACCAAGAAAATGAACCGAAAAAAAGATGACAGCAATGCAAAAAGTGCCCGGAATAATACAAAAGAGACGAGCACACAGCAGGGGGCCACAGAGGAACAGGAACAGGAGCCTGGCAAAAGTTTTGCCACTCGACGAACTCGTCGCGACTCTGGGCGATAATTGAACAAATTGTTTCGAGTGCAGTCAAGGGGTTGGGCTGCGGGCACGGACAGGGTAGCGTGGTCCTCAAGTGCTGACAAGGGCCAATAAGAGGCGCCACTTGGCGAAAAAACTTTTGAGTCCTTGCGTAAAGTGCAGAGATTAACTCTAGATGGGCGAAGCATACCGGGGACATGCCTCAGAGTTTAATGTAGCTAGAGGGGGATACGCTGCAGTGGTCACAACCTGCAGTTAGATTGGATAAGCTCAAACGATCCTAGCCAAAAATGATGTAGGGACACAGTTGTTAATTGGTCTCTCAGTACTAACCTCTGCCACTCCTGCCCACAAATCGGAGATCATTGAATTTGGCCACCTGGTTCTTCATCACCGCCGTACAGTTGCGCAGCTCGGCGCAGTAGTTCTCATCGTTGCCGGCCCGCACCGTGACCATGGTGCCGTCCATGATGTCGCCCAGCGACACCACCTTGAAGGCAACCGGCAGTGTCTTGTTGGAGCGCCAGTGCGGCGGCAGGACGGTGCAGACGAAGAGCGGACTGCTCGTGCGGATCAGCTCGCCGGGGTGTTCGGTGAGGAAGTCGCCGAGTGTGCGCTCGGCCAGGATGTCCGAGGTCATTTTGGTGTATGCCTCGTTCAATAATTGGGCGGGTGTTGGTGGTGTGTTTTGCTCCGTGTTGTTGTTGGTGTTGTTGGAGCCATTGGTGTTACTCGTGTTGTTGTTCGCCGTTGAGCTGTTGTTGTTGTTTGTTGCTGTGTTGTTATTGTTGTTGTTGGTTGTTGAATTGTTGTTGTTGTTGTTGGCATTGGATGCCGTCGAATTGCTGGTGGTTGTTGTAAGATGCATTTTGTAGTTGTTGTTGGTGTTGCTGTTGGTGTTGTTAAAATGATTGCTGTTGGTGTTGGTGTTGCTGTTGCTGTTATTAAAGTGATTGCTATAGTGTTCGTGTAACTGTTGCTGCTGCTGCTGCTGCTGCAAGTGGTGATGCTGATGCTGCTGCTGCTGCTGCTGCGGCTGTTCTGGATGTGGATGTGGATGTTGTTGCTGCTGCTCAAACTGCTCCAGTTGCCCCTGAGCGTGAGCCTGCACTTTTTTTAATCGCACAATTTTGTCTTCTGTTAATCGTACCGTTGGCTGGAATCAATACAAATTGCCTCTTTGGAAGTGTGTGGGTAGAGCTGTAAGCAAATAAACAAAGAGTGTAATTAGTGAAGAGCTGGATAGAAAACTGCAATTACAAATCCATCAAAAGTACAACAAAAATGTAAGATTCTCGCTGCTTAAACGGAGGATTCAGAGTCAAGATGGATGCCATTTCACTCAATGAAAACAACACAGTTAACTGAAATGACTGAGGCACTCAAAAGTTTTGTAGGCTGGTCTCCAAGTTGATTAGGTCATCAATCTGCCGATGCGAAATCCATCCTGGAGCAACTTCAATTTCAACTTGTCGCATGCCATAAAATGTTTGAGCCACACCCCGCACCCCACATTAATGTCTTTAAATCACAGTCCCCCAAAACGGCATATTACATGGTCTCCAAACCAGAGGCAGAGCCATGGCCAGTGGCCAGTGGCCAGTGCCCAGAGCCCCAACTGCAGCTCAATGCAGGCCAGGCATGCCCTGGGCACGGCAACCATAAACACAAATCAATTGTCAACCACTCGACGGGGACGGCTTCAGACGGCTCTCGGTTAGGAGCAGGACGTGGATAACGACGAGGATGAGCACGAGCACGAGCCACTTGGAAAGGGGAGCAGAGGTGTGTGTGTGTGCGCGCGTGTGATGGGGGACACGGGCGGTCGCAGCGGAACGCAATTTGCGTTGCACTTTTCAATTTCCTGCAAAAGGACTTCATTGCTCTCCTCACTATACGTATACACATGAAAATACATGTTTGTGTGTGTCTGTGTTTGGGGAAATGTCCTGGCATGCAACACTATCCAAACGAAGCGCAAATCTAGTCGACATCCTCGCTGGATGCACGATGCGGGATGCATGTGCCTCTCATGTGTGGATATGAATGTGTGTGTGGCATGTGGCATGTGGGTAGTGGCACGCAGTACCCCGGACATGGGACACGTCACCGTAACCAGTGTCAAAATGATTGTGGACTCACGGGTGAGAATTTGTGGTTTGATACTTGCATATTTTGTCACTTGTCGACATTCGTCCAGCCCGCCAGCAAGTGCAACGGAGAAAGGCAAATGGATGGATGGCAAAAAGAGAGATAGCCACGTATACAGGTGCATCTGGAGAAGCAGCAGCAAATTAAGCTGAAGAAACAGATATGCAAAAGGGACTGAAGACGGCCATTGTTGGCCATAGTTGCGAAAACGCTACTTTATTGTATGGTAATTCCCCGCAAATAACAACATTAAAATGCTCCTAACATCAGTGCCCTCATTGAGGCAATTTCAATCTCCTTCTACCCCATACTACTGCGGGCTCCACTCATTGTCCTGGCCCGCGTACCCGCAGGTTTTTTTGCCCACTCTCAGAATGTGGGACGGGGACGGGTCCCTCCACATTGCTGACCGATAAAAATTACTTAAAAATGCCACAGCTCATGGGTTGACTTTTGGCCAACAGCGTTGCCCAACGACAAGAGGAAGACAAAAAAAAAAAGGCAATGAAAAGCTGTGAAAAAACAAGCATCAGAACACCAAATAACCGTGCCTGTCACACAAAAGCAAAGGAGAGAGAGAAAGGGCAGGAACAAGCAGAAACAACAAGGAGGAACAATGCCAAAAGAGGAAATCGCGGCAAAAATCCAACGGAAGCCAAACGTGTCGCCGCGAATCCATCCAGCCAACAGCGGGGGAGACCAGCAGAGAGAGAGAGAGAGAGAGAAAAAACAAAAAGAAAAGCAAAAAACAGCAGAAGGAACAGAAAAAGATTGGAGGAGAAAGGCAGATAGAGATATGCTAATGGGTATGGGGCGTGGTGTGGTGTCGTCAGTCGCCAACGTCATTTGCCTTTCATTTCGTTGGCCTGCCTCTGCCTTTTATTGTACATTTACTTTATAAAGGTTATTACCGAGCGCCAAATAAGTGGCGGGAGCAGACTGGACTCTTAATTTAAGCCACGATGTGGGTGCAGGCATAACCGCTTGCTGGATCACCTTCAATTGGTACTTTGATCGCTGATCGAAGGCAAAGTCTACTCTGCAATAAACATTGGGGGGATTGGGCTCGGGTTCCCAGCTAGTTGTTCATTTTGCAGGGCATTTAACAGCTTCGACGGCCCGACCAGATGGCCATCTGACCATCCATAGAGACAATAAAAGAGAATCCGTGAAGAGCGAAAAAATCAGCGGCAAGTGCTCGACAAACGCGCCATAATCCGCGCTTGCCGTCACCAGAATTTCCACTCTGCCACTCTGCCACTCTGCCACCAGCGCCACGAACCTGAGCAACGAGTCACGCGCGGTTTGTCACCTCATTGTTGTTGTTGTTGCTGCTGCTGCCTGCCAGTTGGTTCAGACTCTTTTTTTTTTTTTTTGATTGTGTGTTTGTTAGGATCCCAAACCTTGGACAGGGGCTGGGAGCAGGGTACTGGGGATGGGTGGCTAAATCAAAATTCATGGTTTCTGTTAAAACGGTCAACCGGAGGGGAGGATATCGATAGACAAGGACAGTCCATGGAGGCTATGGCGATGGCTATGGGTTACACGCAAGTTTAACCCTTTGATGACCCCTCTACCCCAGGCCCTGATCTGATCCAGCCAGCACACATGTACGACATGTAAATTGTTTCAATTTGCGGCATTTGCCGTAAAGCTGCGCAATTTTCGACATGCCATAGATACACACACACACACACTTGCAGAGCCACCCTTGTGTGGGGCGGTGTTGTCTTTTTTTTTCGCAGCCATAGTTTGGTATTTCCATGGAAGTGTCCAGCTGTTGGGCTCCCATCGAATACTCTCGGCATGAGAGTGGCAAAAAATGGGAAACCCAAATACTAAACTTGTTAAATGTTATGGCTACATACATATGCACATATATATCTATATTTGTGTGGGTGTATTAGGGTTATATGAGCAGCATATGAATGTGTGGGTGGGTGGGTGACCGGGCCACTGGACACTGCCACTGCTGTTGCCTGCTACTTTGATGTAGTTAAATTTTAATTGGACTTTGGGTTTTTGTTCCCCGTCTGTGGTATTTCAACAGCCAACAACAGCAACAACTATGTCAAGTATGCGCACGGGTTTATACTTATATGCGGCACTCTGCGCGTGTGTGTGTTTGTGTGTGCTCCCATATTAAGTTAACCAATTTCAGCTGAAACAGCAGCAAAAAGGAGTCTAGAAAAGCATAAGGGAGTCGCTCTTGTGGCCAGCGCCAATGTGCTGGAACTGATTGGGTTAACTGTAGAAGAACTCATAAAGATTTTATTTGACAATCAGCATTTCAACATTTAGCAAATTATGCACAAAAATCAACTTTTGCCTTGTCGTGCGATAGTTCACACTCTTGAATTGGGATAATATGGTATGGATGCTTCAGGATTCAGCTTTTTATCGCTCTTGCCGGTCTGCTGCTTCCTCCACAGAAATAGTTTACCAAAGTTTATCAATCAGTATTCGAGATACCATTTTTGCCCCAGCTTTTCCGAGATTCCACTTGCTCGCATTAGCCATTACCCAAACCAATCAATGGAACACGAATCTATCTGTCGCATCTGACAACGACAATGCCCAGGGGAGTAGCTGAAGCAAAGCCCAAAATTAACAACATTTGCTAACTAACAACAAATTAAGTCATACATTGTTGATAAGTGCTCAAGTGGGTAACACAGAAACCACCCGGAAAGTAGCAGAGGACTACTGCCAGAGTGCCAGAGCGGGAGTAAGCAGGACTGTGATCCCAGTGGCATGGGAGTCAAGTAACAAGAGTCCGACAACGTTCGCTTTAATGCCTAAATCAACTAAATTTGCGGGCAGCAAACTTATTTCCGGCATGCCGAGAACATTTACCAAAACACCAGAGCCCCAACAGGAATCAACAGTCCAAGACAAAGAGAGAGAGAGAGAGAGAGAGAGAGAGGAGGACACCAAAATTCAACCATAAATTGATGCAGTAACACGCCCTCAGTTCTGCCTTCTGAACTCTACCCCTCTACCCCTCCATCCCCTGACCATCACAAAACCAAGAGATGCAGTTCTCCAAAAAATGAAAGAGAAGTTTCGGTGCTGGAGGACTGCAACTGGGATCCCAGATGGATGCAGTCTTGCTGCAATCCAATCCAATGCAATGCAATGCAATCCTTCTGTCAGTCCTGTCGTCCTGCGGCTGGAGGGAACAGGGGAAAAACCCGAAAAGCGAGCAACCAACAATGCCAAGTTTTCGGTCAACTTTCGGCCAAAACAATGCCCAATCCCCAGTACCAACGTCCCTGGCCGCAGTCGTGGTGCTGGCAACACTCCGTGCGTAAGCCCCCCGAAAAAACCCACATGGGGCACGCATCTTGTGCTCTTCCTTCGTTCCTCTTACCCTCTCTCTGGCTCTCTGTGTGTGCCGGCATTAATAACGTGTGCAGCATGCAACGTGTCCTGCATCTGCCTCTGCCTCTGCCTCTGCCTCTCTGCCGCTTGCCCTCTATCTTGGTGCTGCATCCTTGCAACTGAAACTGGAGCCAGAGTTGGACTTTCTCTGGTCAATTCGCGGTTTTGCTTGTCACTTAGCCGACGGCCGACTGTTGGCCATGCGAGCCGTTGGCCATTTGATAAACGACGAGGAGACGACAAACGACAAACGACAAACTACGACGACGATGACTGCTAGCTACTACGCCCCCGCTCTCACCATCGCCCTTTTTGAGGCGACAATGTGACGACATTTAAGGCCAAGAGCTCCAGGAATGAGCATCCTTTGGGAGTGGATATGTAGGTACGGGTATGCCCATTGGGGTTGGCACTGAATTATCTCACCGAGGTGTCAAGGGGGTGTCCTTGTTGCCGCAGGCCAGCACGAGCCTAAGATGGAGTTTGTTCAGTCTTATGGGGCGGATGTGTGGACTAAGTGTTAAGTGCTCCATGTATATGGGGGTATATCTGCGAGCTATTTTTACTTCGAATGGCAAAGCAATAAGTATCTTCTCTTGGACACACTCGTA